ACACACACACACACACACACACACACACACTGTCAGAGCTCAGCTTGTTTGCATACATTAAGACAATTACTGCATTGTGACTTCTAACCCAGATACAAAACTTGTACACACTTAAAATCAGGCCAAACAATGCAATCAGTGTGACGAAAAAAAAAGGCTTTTTGAGAAAAGCTGATGTATAAACATGTGAAGAGCTATTTAACCAGCAATGTAAGAGTTAACCCTCTTGATGACTAAAGAAGGAGATCATACCTACTGACTCAGGCCTGAGAGGCTTTAGTGCATAACTCCCTCACACATGAGACTCACTGTGGAGCTCCCTCATTACTGAAAGACCTTCATCACAGTTCAGTCACAAACAGCATTCAGCACACTATTTACCATGACTGATGGTATGAATATGTAACGCTAACTTAGTCAGTTTAAAGTAACGTTACTCTGGCCACTTGCTAGCTTAACGCCAGACTTGTTAGCGCCATAAATAACGAATAAATACATTAACAATTCAACAATCTAGCAAATAGCTCTGAACTGTGGCTAAAAAACAAATGCCAAAACCTATATAAGAGTTTAACTTGCCTCATGTTTGTTGTCCAATGTTGCAAGTGATTCTGTGTTTTCCACACGACTGCGCATGCTCGAGTGACTTACCATAGTAACGATGTTGTGGTTGTAAGTTAACCCCCTCCCTGTTTGATTATGACTTACTATTACTTTGTAAATTATCCAGTTTGATTCGGATGCTCAATATGCGGTAATTATGTCGTATTTTCTGGCTGTTATGTCCTATAGTCAACATAATACAAACCCTAAAAAGGCTGCAGATCAATTTATTGTGCTTTCAACTTCAGAAAAAACATGTTTACAATAAATTCAAAGAACACAAGAAGACAATTGTAATGTTTTTATTATGGCACGCACAACATGTTACCATTTTCATAAGGTATGTATTTAGAAAGGAGACAATTGTTTTTTTGGTATGTATCAACTTTTTCGTATCAAGTGCAATAACAGAAGTTATGGGAAGAGGAGCCAGGGACCATCAAGATCCGTTTAACTGACACACAGACAGAGGTGAAGTCCAAGGAAAGGGCAACATGATAATTTAGTATTTAGTGCATTTCTAAAGGAAGACAAATGAACAAGCCTATTATTCATGTATTGTGTGGATGATACAACCAGTGGGTCAGGGCTCTAGTGGTGGGGCCCTGACAGAGAGGAACATACGAGATATTTGTAAAGTTAAACAGAGATTCTCAACTTTGTAGTCTGGACCCCATGTTGCAGATTTGTGGTATTTAGTCCATTGATATGTTGATTTTTGTCAAATAAATTGACATGCTTTGAAACATAATTTCTATGTAGTCTATGCATCATGCTCGTTATATCAAAAGCAGAGGATTTCAAGCTCTCTTATTGCTGGGTTCATGAGAATTATGAACATTGTGGCACCTAACCATTGGGTCAGGACCAGAACATGTTGAGAAACCATGCTCTAACAAAGCAAAGAAGTGCCTGCGTTACAGAAAATGACTGTACATCACCTTGCTACAGAGACAAACATGTACCGTTTGGCCCTTATATTATACAAAAGTTATAGAAATAGAATGAAAAAGAACATTATCGTTATATTGCACACATGTAGGAGTAGCAACCCTGGGTTTAAAGTGGCCTTAGTGTTGACAGAAAAACAAATATGGCTGCCAGGGGACAGAATATCAACCTTGATTTTCCTTCAGAACCTAAACATTTTAGTTGACCAAATGAAACCACTGGACCTGCGTATTTATAAAGGTCTCATATTTGGCTAACGGAGCACTTCGTTGGTCAAGACAGCTTTAGGTTTATAGGGTCAGACAAAGGTTATAGTTTATTATAATTATAAAGCTACATGTCCGATCACATCGGGCTGGGAATTAAATAAAATAGATTACAATCAATTTGAATTATATTCTTGGATTTTTAAATATATTCTTATTGTGCATAGAAATACCAGCTTTGACGGCCAGTTTTTAAACCAATGTGGTAGATTTTATACTTGTTCATATTTGAACAAGCACTGTGTGTGTCTACTGTTTATCATGATAATTATTTTTTCCATATTATTCAACTTCAGCTTGAGGTATAATATGTCAACACCTGTTGGTTAAGTGAAAGTGCAAAGCAAAAGTCAAATAAAGAATGACTCACAAAAGACAGAGAAATGCATCCAGGAGCATGACAGGGATGTTTGGGTGGATTTGAAACAACTATCAGACACCAAACCCAGTCCTGCACTGGGAGTTTAGGCACCACTAAGAAGCCACCGCTCCCTCAAATGAAGGCCGACTGTCACATCTGAGCCGAGATCACCCGACTGCAACCAACCGGTCTTCAGCGTCGAGGGAGGGGAGGCCGGGGCACCCAGACGGTAAGGCATCTTGGAAGACGCTTGTGCTGGCTCTGACAGCTGTCCTTCCTTTTGTCACTTTCAGGCTACTGTCATTGCTACAAAGCAAGTCAACTTTTATAAAACTGTATTACTGGTGTGACTGTTCAATGGCCACACCTAGCTTGTCGTAGATCTCCTTCAGCAGCAGGAGAGCAGTATCCTCAGATTCCCTAGTAGACAGAGAGAGAAGAACATCATTTATTTTAAGGATAGATTTAAGTCAGGCGTGTAAAATGGGATACAACAAAGAGAAAAACATTAAGAGCGCACGATAACAAAGGTCACAATAACTGTGGTCCACGTGTATCCATGACTCACCAGTAGCACAGATGAGACTGGATGGCAAACAGGTACTCGTTGAAGCTCTCGATAGGTTTTTCCTGAAGTACGTAGTCGATCCTTCGTCCTCCATTCAACATCCCCACTTTAATCTCAGGCTGCTCCGTCTGCTCTGCTGACACTGAGGACTCTGCCTCGTCACACACTCCTGCTGCGACAGAATACAAAAAAAAAAAAAAAAAAAAGGAAGATGAAGCTGCACAGACAGGCTACAGACAACAAAAAGACAATAGCCAGCAGCTATTTGTTTTGACTCAGACTTCTTGGTAGAACAGGAACAGATGAGATAATAGACAGGAAGGAAGAGAGTGTCTGCTGTAGATGTTGCAAGAAGATACTTTGATGGAATAACAACCACAAAAACCATCTTTGTGATTGTTTAGAAAACCACTGCAGAACGCTTTTTTGATTAGCACTGAATGGATGTCTCCTATATCAATTAACATCAGACTTTTGACCTGATGTTGTGTGTATGCACTCACCCACAGGTGCAAGTATGAGGTTGAGTAAATGTCAGTAAGATGGGTTAGTTTTGTGATGAGTTGGTATGTTAAAAATGTAAATGTTGTTTTAAGAGTGATCTCGAGAGGGCTCTCAACAAAAACCTTCTGATGAACTCTAAACTGCTGGCTGCTTGATTATCATATTTTCTACCTCTGCATTTACTGACTTGTAATTTCGGACATTAAAACCATGAACATCTTACTCTCAAATTACATATTACTGTGTCCACTATTGTTACATTATACTAGAGTCTCGTGTTTGGGATCTTATACCACAATACAACAGGTGAAGGTTGTAAGGGTTGTAAACAAAAAGCTATGAGTCCTCGTTAACATATAGAGTGGAGAGTAGGACACAAAGGTTATTTTGTGATGTATTTGTCTGTTCTAGCAGCAGCTGTATTCCCCGTGACTCATTTAATAAACTGACAGACTAATAATTACAGGTTCTGTAGAAAAGGGCAGGACGTGTACCTGCATGTAGCTACAGACCTGCTACTGATGATTAACATCACCTGCTGTGAACAACTGTGATCAATACCATTCAACTGTTCCCGTTTGTTCAGAACATACAAGAATGCACCATGGGAAAATTCCTCAAGTGGTCTCTGTTGTTCGCGAAGCGGTTAGTACATTCAACCAATAGTGCAGTCAGCAGGCATGGAGGAAGGAGGAGCAGGGGAGCAGTGAGAGCCTGCGGTAATAATGACATGCATTACATCTTAGCATTTGCTCTTTGTGAGGGAGCTGACAAGACAAAGTAAACCACAGTAATTGAGTACTATTAGGTTTTTTTTACTATACATTCTGCAGGTACTGCAGCATAGTTTTAACCATTAAACAGATAATTAAAGTAATTTGTTTTGTTTCCTTTCCAGGGAAGGTAAATGTAACACGCACAATGAGAGACAAGCTTATACAGGCTTGTGTTTAGAGTTTACAGAGAAAACTGAACTCGATTTCTTCGATTTTGTTCCTGTCTTATCTTGAAAGTAATGCTTATGAAGCGCCCTGGGCCACTCCAGTATTTTAGTCCAAAAGTCAGCACTTTTCTCTTCCATCTTAGAAGAAGAAGTGATTGCCGCTGAGGCTGAAGTTCAAAAGGTAAAGTAGGTAAATGGTGAGGGAAGCAGGAGCTACCGCCAGATAGAGTGTAAGAGGGGAGGGTGGCAACGTGCAGAGAGGGGTGAGAGGAGACTGGGTTAGACACACCTTTGCACACATACACAAACAAATGCAAATAAAAGGGTTATTCTACCCTGTGTCTCTTGAAGGTCTCTTTCTATTGTAGTGTCTCCTTGGTCCACCGGGGGCAGTGCAGCAACTGGTAGTCTGGAAAAGGACTGCCATGCCGTCCGTAACGATCCCAAAACATTGTTCTTCAAATCCATGCTCATACGGGTCAAGCTGTCCTTTAGTTCTATTAGACAAAGGGACACAGAGATTATCATTAAGCCTACTACACAAAGCCCACACCACAAAGAGAAAGAAACAGACAGTCATACCCAGGTGCATCCTCTTGCGGCCTTTATGATGAGGGATCAGCATGGGCTCCAGATCAACCTCTGTTACAATCATGGGCTCTAGCCGATAGGCCACAGGGTCGTACTACACAGCAATAAAGGGGATGAGTTGACTGTGAAAGATGACTTCAACGTGGGTTGTACTTTTGTATTTTCTTGAGTTCTCTGAAGCACATGTGCATGTTTATTGATGCCAAAAGTTCACTAATCGTAATAATCTTGGTATGAATACACAATGGTGAAACTTGGACTATTATTCTTGTCGGTGTGTTTATTCAACGCTTCAGTTACATCTGGGTGAGGGTGTGCGGATGTGTGTGTGGTTGGGGGTGGGTCAATGGATGTGCGTCGATGTGTGTGTGTGTGTGTGTGAAGTCAAACTGTAGTTGTGCAAATAAAAGCAGGTGCAGGAGCTGTGCCTGAATGGGCAGATGCAGTAAAGGTGCGATGACTCACTGGATGGTAGATGTTGTAAAAGCTCTTGCAGGTTGGGAAGGTGTAGTTGGGATCAATGTGTTTGAGCCCACGAACAGTCAGGAACATTCCAATCGGAGAGCCAAAAGCAAAAAATGTTTGAGGGTGGAAAGCCAGCTGTGGGTAATCAATGGATACCTGTGGAGAGAGGATGGAAACATGCTCTATCAAATCTGTTTAAAAAAAATGTTAGATGAAGAAATCACAGCTATTCAGACAGATGGAACTCCTCTGGTGCACAACAGTGTTTACATTTAAACTACATTTCATGACATTAGGACAACAGTCAGGGAGTGTGGCAGCAGGAAAAGGGGAGACCAGGGCTCTGACCATTCATGCAGGACGGGATGAGCACAGACACACTGTGGTGTTGGGTTGTATGTCTCAATGGGACAAAGATGGTGGCTTTAATCACCGTGGCATAATGTGACTTTGCGATGGAAACCCTATTGATCACAAAACAGCCACTATAATTCAAGTCGCCTTTATTTGTTTCTGAACAGACCAGACTGAATGTGAAAAGAACCCCCAGGCACAGAGAGATCATAGAGACCTAAGGACGAAGCCTGAGGACACCATGTGAGACACACCTGTCCCTTGGCTATGCCTCCATTGGTCTGTCCAGGGCAAGCAGGGGGAGGAGAGAAGCAGGAAGGTGATGCATTAAAGCTTTTATCTACTGGTACTCCC